GGTGGGAAGGGGTGATATATATACTGGGGTCGTAGGGGAAGGCCATTGTATGGATTAGGTTTAGATTGTGAGGTGGGGGAACTTGATTGTGGGTTGGGAGAGGGTTGGTGGTTACATTTGGCTTTTAGGGTGGTGCGATCACCTTGTTGTTGATGAGGTCTTGAATCTCATGACGCAGCCTGAAGCATTGGTTGGTGTCGTGACCGTGCTACTGGTGAAATGAACAGTACTTAGTTGGGTTATGTTTTGGTGGAAGAGGATTAGGTAGTGCGCGAGGCTCTAACGGCTTGAGGTGCCCCTTTTTGATCAACACCCTCATGGCTTGGGATAAAGTCATGTAGAGTGAGGTAAAGGTCCTCTGGGATCAGGCCGGGTTGTTTCAAGTTTGTTGGGTTGTACTGGCAAAGGGATTGGCGGTCTTGGTTGTGGTGGTGACAACAGTCACATCAGATGGTCGTGCAGCTGTGCTACCACTAGTGGATGCATTGGAACTGCGCACAAAAGGCCTCTTGGCCTGCTTTTTCTCATCAGTTATCAACCCCTGTTTCATAGCGTCTTCAATCTGAACTTCCATCTCATAGAGCTCGGTGAATGTGAATAGAGGTAGGACTATCATTTTCTGCAGTAATTTCCCGCGTAGATTGCGGACTACCATCCTTATCTGATCTTTCTCTGAAGGTCATGTAGTCATCATTGAAGCTTTGGCCCTCCACCTGGTCATGAATTCTGAAAAGCCCTTATTTGGCACCTGGCGCGTTGCCTCGAGATCATGAGTTGTGACCTCAATTTGTGTGTTATAAGAGTATTGTGCAATAAAGGCCTCAGCTATTTCCTCTAAACTCTGCTTTATAGAATCCTCCAGCTTCGCATACCATATGGCGGCTATAACAAACAAGGTCCGACCAAAGAGTGAGAGCTTCTGCAATATGGTTAGGCCTATCGGCCACAGAATGTCTGAAAACAACCGAAGATGAACCATCGGGTCTTCGGAACCATCGAATCTATCGATATACAACATTTTGAACTGATCTAGCAATGTCATCGTAGAGTTGGTATATCCATCTTCTATGTCAGGAATAGAATTAACACCCTGTGCCCTTTTGAATAGTTTCTCAAGCTTGTTGACCTTAAGCACAGTTAGGTCAACCTCAAACTCAAATTCAAATGGAGCCTAGGCTTGATATATAGGCGCTTTCGAGGCTTGTGGTGGGATCGACTCCACCGGGTTGCCTTAATTCTCAGCCTGAGTATTAGCGGTATGGGCTGTGGCTCTAGGTGTTGGGATACCTGTGGGAGGTGCATGAGATACAGAGGCTACTGCCAGCTGTGGTTGTTGTTGCTGTAGCCTATTTATTACCTCTGCCTGACGTGCTGTGACTTTGGCTTGACGAGCAGCGTCTTGTTGCATGGTTTTAACTGTTTATTGAAGGTGGTGGATTAAGTCCTCCATGCTGACTGGGGGATATTGTGCCATTGGAATGGGTGAATGATCTCATACTAGACTGGATGTAAAAGACTTAGCCTGACTAGATGCAGGTGATTGTTGGACTGGTGAATTGTGCCTAACTCTTCTCCGTCTAGTAACCGGTAGGAGCGAAGCAAACACAGGTTGTCCCCTAACAAGATCTTCGAATCTGTAAGCCTCTTGACACGGGTCCAGAGCACTTGGAGGATATCCGAACTGTCCAAAGCTATGATGTTATACTACCTAGCAAAAAGAAATAAAACAAAAAAAGAAAGCAGTAATTAGAAACCGCACAACACCTCAGCTCAGATGCTAACAACACACAGATGTAATCAAAGCTGTAGAACTACACTCAACATTGAATTCTGCCTCCAAAACTGCTACCCAACTTGCAATTGATACGCACATTCTTATACAGTTTCACTGTAAAGCACATACTAGTTAAGTGAGAGCCAAAGCACCCCTATGAGGGGGTAGGGTTACCCTGTCCTAGTTTTTTCAGGAACTAAGGTTCACTATTCAAACAAAGGGGTTTCACGCAATCCTGCATTTTGGGTGAGCATCCTGTCCTAGTTTGGAATAATCTTTACGACTTTCGATATGTAAATAGGCCAAATGGTCAAAAGGGTACCTTGGCAAGACTACCTAATATACCTCTCACACCTAACACTGAAAAGTGAAAGGAGGATCAAACGGTATAGCGGTAGTCCAGATCCAAGGGTTGTGTTCCCATCATGGCAGAGCCCGTGACTGGCCAGCCTTTTGGCAAGCTTTTTAGGCAAGCCTCCGGTAAACCGTCCAAGAATAGCAAATGGCAAACACAGTGACTTAAGCACACCACTTCAAATGCAATGCAAAAAAACATATAAGCATAGATAAAATTTCATGTTATGAGTTCGAGTCAAGTTCTCTAAATCCCCAGTAGAGTCGTCGGAAACTGTAGCTCGGCTTTTTTGTACTCCTTTTCGAGAGGTCAAAATATAAGCCCTACAGTTCGGACTCCCGCGGTTCTGAATCTAATCTCACAAGTGCAATGTGAAATTGATAAACAGCAAAGAGTCCAAATCCGACAAATCTTTTGGAAAATCAAATTTTGAATCAAATTGCCAAAAATGGACTACTTTGACAGATACAGAGTCGCCACCTAAATATTTTTGAGAAATTTAGGAAACCCATGACTCGTACCAAAGGCCATATGTCCGTCATCACCAAGATTGTCTCGGCTCGGGAACTTCGGTACGAGGGGGGAAGGTCATGAATACATTTGAGCACCCCCACTCGCCCGATCAAAGATCGGCCTCTACTAATTATGATATGATTTTTATCAACATTATATGCTCTTGTTCCGGTTTATTAGGTTAGCATTACTATGTGATGCACACAAAACAAGTATAAACTAACTTGCAAGAATTGGAACATCTGGAGTCATGTTTGTTTTGAAAATTATTTCGAAATATGGACCACTTGAAAAAGTTATCGCATATGAAGCTTACTCAAATTATTCCAATTCAAGAAATAAGCCTTCATTCACAGGCATTCAAGTAGTTATAGCACTTAAGCACTTAGCCTCATGACAAGCATGCTAAACATGGCAATAATCATACGCATGCAATTATGCTAAAGCGAGTAAAGACTCACTTAGTACTCCAAGCCAAAATGAACAAAAGAGTTAGAAAAAAAAATGCATGATTCCTAACTTATGCAAGATGACTAATGCAACACATGTGATATGCAATTTAAATAGGCTCGGCTACTAAACATGGCATATGAAACAATTTGATAACATGCGATTTAAGCACGTATTCAATGAAGTATTAAAATGACAATGCAGTTAACAAATGGATGCAAACATGGAGAATGCTAATTGAAACGTAATGTCCCTAAACTAACCATCATAAGCTAGTAAATAAAAGGGAGAAAGACATGGGGTTGGAAGACATACACATTATTACATTGTGCTCTCACGAAGGAGAGTCCGAGTGAATAAGCTAAGCTAAGCTAGCTAACTAAGCTAAGCTAAAGCTAATTAAGCTAATTATTACAAACCAAAATGAATAAACTAGTTAAACTACTTAACTAGTTATTACAACACTTGAATTAACTAACTATTTAACTAACTAATTAAATAATTACAACACAAGTGCAATTAAAATAAGTAATTAAACTACACAACTAATTACTATGCCTCGGGAAACGAGGAATGTTCATGCACGTGCTCGGTTTCCAATCGAAAAGACCACTGTTTTGCTTCTGAATGCCTCTGTTTACACAGTTGAACACCAACACTGTTGCTCACTCTACTCTGCCTTGCAAACTCACTGCTAAATTTTGCACCAGTGGCCGGTCGGCCAGTGATGAGGATTGTTGGCCGGCCGGCCATCAAGGGCGGTCTGCCGGCCACCTACCGGCCATAAAAAGTGGCTTGCCGGCCATTGCTGCATAGATTCATCTTGCTACAACAGAGGACAAACAGAGCATATACAGGGTATTTCAAGGGTTTGTTTGCACAACTCACCCCTCCTTTTTATGAGCAAATCAAACGAGTAGCAAGTTCGGTTCACAAACCATCAATAGATGCAATTTCGTTGTATGATGGCTTGTGAAACCAACTGTGGAAGTTTAATAAATGCAAAACAAGACACAAACCTCCTCCCTTTCATGAATGATCAAGGGAAGTGGTGACCTTGGAACCTTGAATCATTTCATCACTAATGAGTATGAAATGGTTCAAGTTTGCATGTGTTCAATTAATGTCCGATTGAACACAACCAAGTTATTATCTTGTGCCATTTTAGTCCCAAGTTTTAGTTTCTCGATTTTAATTACCAACCATTCCTTAGTTCATTGAGTCCAATGGTGAGTTTAAGTCCTCTAAATAGAAAGAAGGCTCAAACTAAGTGTTGATTTAGGCATGAAAGAGACATCATACCATTGGTAATGAACTCCAAAGGGATTGAACCATTAAGCATGACATCTCAATCTCATGCTTTCGACAAACAAGTTGTTTGAACCACTTTCAGAGCAAAACAAAATGCCAAGAAAAGAGGGAGGTTGCAGAGATTATTAGTAAATAAATGCTATCAACTCAAACAAGATGATGTTTAAGGCCTAAAACACCAAGCTTATGAGGACTATTACACTACAAGCATGCAAAACAAAGCTCAAATATAACTAACAGCCCAAAAAAGTGCTAAAATAGGTTAAAACAAGTCCTAAAACTTGCTAGAATAGAGTTAAAAATAGCTAGATTAATATGCTAAAATATGGCACCAACTAGTCTAGTAAGCAAGACACAAGGAGGGGAGGCTAACCCCTCGAAATTTGAACTTCAAAACATGAATTTGGCCATTGACAAAGCTCTGAAAATCAATGCTTAAAGGCTTGGAAAAAGATAGTAAAAAGGTGGGAAACATAAGAACAAAGGCCTCCAAAACAAGGTACAAAGAAGGGCAATCAACCCCTCAACCTTTAATGGCCTTAAACCCAAGCTTTAGCCCCCAAAACATAGAGTTTTGACAGCCCAAAACAATGGAAAAACAGTAGAAAAAGTAGTAGAGAAAGCAAGCAAATAGGTAAAGCCTTATACCTCTTGAAGAGAAGAAGCAATTCCAAGTAACAAAACCAAGTTAACACACCTTCTAGAGCTCAAACCAAGCTCAAAAGTACCTCAGCTGAAAGATGGAGAGATTTGGTTAAGGGCGTATAGGAAAAGGTTGAAGAATTGTAGGCAAAAGTATAGAGATTTGGTAGAGTGAGAGAGAGAGAGAGAGAGAGAGGAAAAATTTTTATCTCAAAATTTTCTATCCTTAAAACATGAGATATGGGCCTCCTATGTATTGAAAACATGAAATTCCCTCAAGGAAATCCAACCTTACACGTGGGGATAGATGCATGCATTTGTGCAAACAACTAGCACAACTGGTATAAAATATCTGCAAATACACTGATGGCCAGCAGGCCACATCAGTGGCCGGCAGCCTAAAAGTGATGGTCGACAGCCCAAAAGTGGTGGCCGGTAGGCCACTAGAGGCTACAGGCTGGAAAAGCTAGGCTTGGTCCAAAACTGGGACAACAAAGGTACAGGGTTTGAAAGGCTCAAAGTTGTGGCATTCCGCTGAGGACTTCGAGCACTTGGCGAGCATATAAACTCATCATCGGGTGTGCATGCGAGGATGTCCAAGTTGTAAGGTCTGTCAAAAATGGAGTGTCTACACATGGGTTTGGTAAAGAGTTGTTTCAATTGTTTAGAATCTGTTGATGCAATTGTGTTTTCCGCAACCACCACCTTTGCCCCATCCCAATTCAACAATCTGCATTTGGCATTGTTCAAGTTAGATCTACTATTCCTAGTTTCATTCTCATTATGTAACTATCATGAAAGCAAACATAAAATAAGCTAATAAATTAAAGACAAAATTAAGGTAATTAACAATGCCATAGAAAATTTACCCATGTGTGTAAAGTACAAACCTTTCTCATTTTGATTATATCCAAAGCTGTTCTTTGTGGCAGCAACATCCCCCAAGCCAAGTCCATAAAATTTTATTGTTACCAAAAACAAAAATAATCATTAGTGGATGTTTGTTTCAATGAAAAATAAGTTATACTAATGACATGTAGACATTTAAAGCCAAAGCAAGCACATATTTATGTGCATAGTAAATAATAGTGATAATAGACCATACAAATGCTTCAATACACCAAATTCATTTTACATACCTTATTTGCTCTTTGAAAACCATCTTAATTAGTGACTACATTACTTCCATCAAGAATTTCAAACGTGAGTATATGATACTGAACAAAATTTTAAATGAATACCTTTTTGGCATCAGGATGTGGTATCTCCTTTGGGATATCATCATAACCCTATCAAAACAAGAAAATGTTCAACCGAACTGTCGACCCTATATTCTTAGTTGTCAAATAAATTTAGGGAAAAATAAAATGAATTATTAACTAAATGTTATTATTTAACTAATCTAGCTAACTAAAATAATTTCATCTGGTTAACTACTTAACTAATTAAAGAATTACAACACAATTGCAATTAATAATTAAACTAAGCAATTAACTACTCCGCCTCGGGAAATGAGAGACGTTCATGCGCATGCACGATTTCCACCCTAAAACGCCACTGTTTTGCTTCTGAATGCCTCTATTTGCATAGTTGAACACCAACACTGCTGCTCACTCTCCTCTGCCTTACAAACTCACTGCTGAATTATGCATCAATGGCCGGTTGGCCACTGGTAAAGATTGCTGGCCATTAGCCGACCATGGATGGTGGTCTGCAAGCCACCTGTTGGCCATGGAAAGTGGCCTTCTGGCCACTGATGCACAGTTTCATCTTGCTACAACAGAGGACAAACAGAGCATATACAGGGTATTTCAAGGGTTTGTTTGCACAACTCACCCCTCCTTTTTATGAGCAAATCAAACGAGTAGCAAGTTCGGTTCACAAATCATCAATGGATGCAATTTCATTGTATGATGGTTTGTGAAACCAACTGTGCAAGTTTAATAAATGCAAAACAAGACACAAACCTCCTCCCTTTCATGAATGATCAAGGGAAGTGGTGACCTTGGAACCTTGAATCATTTCATCACTAATGAGTATGAAATGGTTCAAGTTTGCATGTGTTCAATTAACATTTGGAGGGGAGGCTAACCTCTCCAAATTTGAACTTCAAAACATGAATTTGGCCATTGAAAAAGCTCTGAAAATCAATGCTTAAAGGCTTGGAAAAAGATAGTAAAAGGGTGGGAAACATAAGGACAAAGGCCTTCAAAACAAGGTACAAAGAAGGGCTATCAACCCCTCAACCTTTAATGGCCTTAAACCCAAGCTTTAGCCCAAAAAACACAGAGTTTTGACAGCCCAAAACAATAGAAAAACAGTAGGAAAAATAGTAGAGAAAGCAAGCAAATAGGTAAAGCCTTATACCTCTTGAAGAGAAGAAGCAATTCCATGTAACAAAACCAAGTCAACACACCTTCTAGAGCTCAAACCAAGCTCAAAAGTACCTCAGCTGAAAGATGGAGAGATTTGGTTAAGGGCGTATAGGAAAAGGTTGAAGAATTGTACGCAAAAGTGTAGAGATTTGGTAGAGAGAGAGAGAGAGAGAGAGAGAGAGAGAATTGTAGAGAGAGAGGAAAAAATTTTATCTCAAAATTTTCTATCCTTAAAACATGAGAGAGGGGCCTCCTATGTATAGAAAACATGAAATTCCCTCAATTAAATCCGACCCTACACGTGGGGATAGATGCATGCATCTATGCAAACGGCTAGCACAGCTGGTATAAAATATCTGCAAAACACACTGGTGGCCGGCAGGCCACATCAGTGGCCAGCAGCCCAAAAGTGATGGTCGACAGCCCAAAAGTGGTGGCTGGCAGGCCACTAGAGGCTACAAGCTGGAAAAGCTAGGCTTGGTCCAAAACTGGGACAACAAAGGCACAGGGTTTGAAAGGCTCAAAGTTGTGGCATTCCGCTGAGGACTTCGAGCACTTGGCGAGCATATAAACTCATATCGGGTGTGCATGCGAGGACGTCCAATTTGTAAGGTCCGTCAAAAATGGAGTGTCTACACATGGGTTTGGTAAAGAGTTGTTTCAATTGTTTAGAATCTGTTGATGCAATTGTGTTTTCCGTAACCACCACCTTTGCCCCATCTCAATTCAACAATTTGCATTTGGCATTGTTCAAGTTAGATCCACTATTCCTAGTTTCATTCTCATTATGTAACTATCATGAAAGCAAACATAAAATAAGCTAATAAATTAAAGACAAAATTAAGGTAATTAACAATGCCATAGAAAATTTACCCATGTGTGTAAAGTACAAACCTTTCTCATTTTGATTATATCCAAAGCTGTTCTTTGTGGCAGCAACATCCCCCAAGCCAAGTCCATAAAATTTTATTGTTACCAAAAACAAAAATAATCATTAGTGGATGTTTGTTTCAATGAAAAATAAGTTATACTAATGACATGTAGACATTTAAAGCCAAAGCAAGCACATATTTATGTGCATAGTAAATAATAGTGATAATAGACCATACAAATGCTTCAATACACCAGATTCATTTTACATACCTTATTTGCTCTTTGAAAACCATCTTAATTAGTGACTACATTACTTCCAGCAAGAATTTCACATATGAGTATATGATACTGAACAAAATTTTAAATGAATACCTTTTTGGCATCAGGATGTGGTATCTCCTTTGGGATATCATCATGACCCTATCAAAACAAGAAAATGTTCAACCGAACTGTCGACCCTATATTCTTAGTTGTCAAATAAATTTAGGGAAAAATAAAATGAATTATTAACTAAATGTTCACTATGTTTAGTTTCTTATCTTCAGGATCAGGAAAGAATTTTGTCATCCCAATCTTCAGGCTTCATCAATAAGCAGTTTGGTCATTATGAAAAATTTTAAAAAGAAAAAATATAATAAAAACACTGAAAAACACATATGATAAAGAATAGCATGTACTTTCTTGGTGCTATAGCCACACATATCTGGACCAAACATGATATTGCATACAAACATATGATAAAGAAAATGAAAAACATCAACAAAGAAGGTAAGGTAACCAAAAGAGAGTAAAAGATATATATCAAAGAGCAACCTCCTTAAAAAATAATCTGCAACATGAAAAAAAGCGTGATAAACATCTCATGAGCCCCATATAGGATTCCGTTTGAAATTTAAAAAAAAAAATTTATCAAAAAAGGTCTTCATAAGTTTGTGATATGTATTGTATTGTGATGCCTTTAACTAATCAGTTCTAAAGATGCCCTTTTATTAGGATTTATCAAAATTTACCTTGCTTAGACCCTGAGTAATTTGTGTTCTATTGAGGAACAGATCTAGGAAAATCGATGCACATTGCAGCTGCCTTTTTCCTCTGCACAGCACTGCATTTCAATTTTAAGTGGAGACCTTGCTGCTTCCTCGTGGAAAATTCTTACATACACAGAAATTCTTACCATCGAATCATTTTTTTCCCATGCGGCATTGTTTTAAAATATTAAAAACATTAAAATTAGAATGAGTTATGATTACTGGAAGACAATAACAATCAACCCAATGTTACGAACAACTACATTATTAAGAGTGCATAAATTACAGTTAATGATTCAAAAGCACCTCAACAAGCTCCTGAAGAGGCTGGGATCATAAACCATCATCTTCCATGCCTAATTAAAGCTCCAAAACCCTATCCTTTTGCCATCCGCATACAAAACCTAAAAACCTCATAACTTTACCAAAATTTCAGCCACATCAACTTATTAAATTCAGCCCCTAAGAACCCCTATTGAATGGTAAAGGTTATCCCCACTTGTTCTACATCATATTTGTTGAAAAATTACATTAAAGGATCCATCCACTACACTTATCCAGTCTTAATTAAACTTTCACCATCCACCCCAATAACCTACTTATGAGCAACCAAGGTGTGATAACAAAAATGGTCACTCTGAATATCTCCTGGATAACCATAATGAGAACAACCAATTGTTCAATTAGCATGGTGCAATAAAAATATATGTTCTAAATATATATATGGACAAAATGGAAGGCACTTCGTTTAACACGAAATTCAAATAAGCAAGCGACATGGGCAACTACTGGGAAACATGAATACCTAAAATGGATTTCCGAAGTTGGAGGAGAGAACCTCTCAGATGAGCACAAAACTGTGTTTTCTCAGAAATTGGAAACCAATCTAGCTCTGTGGGCCCTAATCACATGTTTGTTTTAAGTTCTACATTTTGCAGATTGAATGAGATATGAGATATGAGCAAAGTTAACTTTACCATGAAATACGACTTTAATAAAACTTGGAAATACAATTACAAATAATTGTAATCATAAGATTAAGATCCAAAACTCTTTTGACTAGCAAATATTAAATTCGAAGAAATTAATTTAATTACAATAAACCAAAACCAAAGAACTGTGATCCACAAAACCAGATCAAACACAATTGTGAACAAACAAATCAACAAAAATTGAGCAGCAAAACATTGGAATTGAATAAAAAAAAGTCTATGATTATACTGTAAAAAAAAACAAAAAAAAAACAATGTATTATGAGCTACAAAACCAAATCAACTACAAATACGAACTCAATATAGAATGAGAATAAATCAAAACCAACAAGCCACAACTCTAAAGGAAGAAGCCCAACACAATCCCTAGAAAAACCCTTAATTTCACTATTATCACTGCCTACAAAATTTGCACACTGAATCGATAGAATACCTGGGAGAGTGAAGGTTCAGCTCAAAATATCTCAATCGGCAGAGTTAACTACACTGGGGCAATTACGGTAGAAAAAAATGGGGTCGAAGTCACAGTAATCATCGAGGGAGAAGCAGAGGTCGGAGTTGGTATGGTGTATGGTTTGAAGGAAGTGGTTCTAATTGAAGAGTTGTCGGGAGGATTTGAGAGTGTTAGGGTAGCGGAGTGATTGGAGTAGGAGGGGATTGAGGTTGAGAACGGGGAATGGGAAGAAGGGCATTGGAGGGAGTGGCGGAAGAGGGATTTTGGCGAAAGGCGGTGGTGGAAATTGAAAGGGCAGGGGTAAAGGGCGGTAGTGGGGAGGAGAGTGGAGACGGAGTGAAGCGTGGTTTCAGAGAAGTGGATGAGGTGTTTGAGTGTTCAGAGAGCGGTTGGGAGATCGGGAGACTGCGGTAGAGGCGAAGGTGACGGTGGTGAAGTGATTAAGTTGGTGGTGGTTGTGGAAGAGGCATGGTGGTGGAGATGAGAATAGAAGAAATTAGGGTTAGGGTTAGGGGGTCAAGGAAGAAATGTGAGGTATGGTGATGGAGATAGAGGATTCATCTGTGTCTCTTCTTCTTCGTTGCTCTCCTTACTGCACATAAAATGCTTTGAGTTTTTTTTTTATTTTTTTATTTTTTTTATTTTTAAGATTGATGTTGGGGCTGAAAAGTTGGGCTTTTGATTCTTTTTTTTAAAATTTTTTTGGTATTTGGCGCTCAAATTTTTATTTTGGTGCTATTTTTTTTTTCCGGTCGTCCCTTTCACAAAAGCAATTGCACGTCGTGAAAAGCTTAATATTTTAAACGACTGGCTTTTTGGGCGTCATGGAAAGTGTAATTTTTAACGGTTGGCTTTTTGTGTGTCGTGAAATGTTCAATATTTTTAACAGCAGGTATACGCGTGTCGTGTATAGTTGATGTATTTACGGCATGCCATATGCACACCATAAAAAGTTTTATTATTTATGGCTAACATTGCAATTCGTTAAAAAATCATTGTTATTAGCATTCACGACATGCGCTATAGACACGTCATGGTTGGGAAATTATTTACGACATGCAAAAAAGCAAGTCAGAAAAATAAGAAACCACGGCTTGCATTTACTGTATGTCGTTGATGTGAGGCCATAAAAACCCAATTTTGTTGTAGTAAATCTTTGTAGAGAAAACATGTAGAAGTTGAGTTCATCTAGTTTTGAGTTTATTTACATGAAATTGTGCAATAGAGGCATGAATTACCTCGAATTGGAAGAATTGAGTTGAATTATGTACACGCATGCATGATTCTTCATTTTTGAGTTAAGATTTCTTGAATTTCATACATGCGTGAGGTCTTGAAGGCATGAACTTGAAGGTTTTCCATGTTTTTATACATTTTATGCCATCTTGTTGTCTTTTGAAAAGAAGAGAATTCAAGTTAAGACATGCATGCTTTATAACTTAATGTTTGATTTCAAATTTGAGAAATGGATCATGATTTTGGACAATTGGTTTCAAATTGAAAGTGTTTTCATGTTCTATAATATTTTTCCATGTTTTTGTACCAACCATGCAAAGTTTGAACCATTGAATTGCAAGTTTGAGCTTCAAACACAATTCTGAAAATTCCAGAATTCAACCAGTTCGCTCGAGCGCAGGAAGTGGCGCTCGAGCGTAAAAGTTAAGCTCCCAAAAGTTTTATAGACAATTGCACGATGGCTCAAGCAGCAAAAGTTGTGCTCGAGTGAACCTTGTTTTGCATTACTCATGGCTCAAGTGACAGAAAATTGGCTGGAGCCTAAAAATGAAGCAACTAGTACTTTTACAGAGTTTTGTAGACCGCTCAAGCAACCAAAGTTGCGCTCGAGCGAAGACCCTATTTTCAGCAAATTTTGACTAACTCTTTTAAGTGCATACTTGCATCTTTATATCATTTCAAGTACTCTTAGGCACCAAGTGAACTCATATAATCATGGAATGAGTTAGAAACACATAAGGAGAGTTGAATTAAAGTGAAATGGTTATCGAATGGTGCTTCAATTGTATATTTGTTATGTGTTTGTATAGGTGGACATCTGAGGCCTAGCATCGATAGAACCCACAATGAGTAGTAACTTTATAAAGATATGTTCACTGCTATGTTATTTTCGAAATTGATATATAACTGTTGGAATGGTTTATTGAAACGTTATTTTCTTATGAATGAATGAAGTTCCCTTTTAAAAATGTATTCGTGGCATCCATTGATTATAGGCCCTTGCTTAGGGGAAACTATACCACGGCCATTGATTATAGGCCCTGCCTAGGAGAAACAATACCACAACCATTGACTACAGACCCTTGCCTAAGAGAAACAATACCAGGGCTATTGGATTAATTGAAACACAGAGATCTCTGATGTTAGACCTTCGTGGTTCATTGTTATCGGCCCTCGTGGTCCATTGTATCGACCCTTGCGGTCCATTGATATTGAAATATTGTTGCTTCATAGGTGTGTCTCCTAAATTGTTATTGTATTGATTGTTGAAATTGAGAAAACATAGATCATTGTGAATTGTATTTGAAATGATACTAAACTTCATTCATTTTAACTCCTTTATTCTGTTATTACTCACTAGACCCTCGCTCACTATTTATATGTGTATGTAGGTGAGCAAGTTGAGCATCAAGGATAGAGATTGCCTCAGAGTCACCCCATTGTCAGCCTTTCGTAGAGCTTCCGAGAAGGAGCCAGCTTGGGCTTGAGTGGAGCCAAGCAAAGTTAAACCCCCCTTCCCCCCGTCCCCCTGTTTTTTTTTATTTTTTTTTTTTTTTATATGAACTTGTATTTTGAGATTTTTGTTTGGTTTTTGTATTGGGGTTTTTGCTTAATTATAATTGTGGAGTTTTGTTGGAGGGAATGGATGTTTTTAACTTTTGTATGTACTTATAGAATGGTTTCACAATTATAGTATGAGATCTTTTCATATAAGCACAACTCAATGGTTTATTTTCAAGTCTTATATTGCTTCCGTTAAGCCCCATTATTTATACTCAAATTGATTTTGTTAATTGAGGCCGTACGTAATCTAAGATTACTGGCCAATCATGATGTTAAACCTATAGGGACGGGTTTGGGTCATGACAGTCACACTATCACAAATCACCATGACACCCTAGAATACTCCCCCACTCCATATCCAAAGCATTCTTCTAGCCGTATTTCTGTTGCATCCATCGCAACACCACTAGTCCTAGCCCCTATCTAGACCACCACGATACCCTAACCCCTTCCTTAGACCACCACAATAGCCCTAGTCCTCTTCTGAAACCCTAGATTGTGGCTCTCTCTCTTTCTCTGATCACAACTCTAGGTTGCTAGGGTGGTGATGGTGGCAAGTAAAAGGACTAGGATATGGTGGGCATTAGGAATGGACCAAAGGGGTTAGGAGAGGGTGGAGAAGATACTAGCGGTATTAAAAAAGAAGGCTAGAGGTTGTAGGGAGGGTTGAGAAAGGCAAGTAAGGGCGAATGAGGGATCTTTGGTTGGTGAGAACATGAAATCTCGTATTTTTTGAGGTATTAATATTTTAATGAGAGGTATTGGTATTTTATTTTAAATAGTAGTTTGGTGGTGAGATTTTTAGATAGAAACTTAACTTATTTATTTTATTTCTTTTCATCTCCACTTCATTATTATTATCATCATTTTATTCATCTATTTTATTTTCTATTTTGCTTGGACTCCAAACAAGACCCACATGGGTGTTATGTTCATCCCTCAAATTTTCCATCATTCATCCATCAAATTTTCCATCAAAACCATACCATACCATGCCTTGCCCATCCTTATATCTTTTCAATTCCATCCATCCCATCTTTTATTTTCTTTATTTTCTTTTTTATTTCTTTTATTTTTCTTTCCCTCCAAATTTACTTGGAGACTACTCTTTCTCCTACTATTTAACTTGCAATCACAAACTTTTGTTTTTTTGCTTTTCATCCCTTTTGGTTCTCTCTCTCTTCTTCTTCTTCTTCTTCTTCTTCTTCTTCTTCTTCCTCCTCCTCCTCCTTTATCATACATTTCCATCCTATGCTTTAGCTCTCTCTTTTTCTAGCCCATATTATTTTTGTCAAACCTTATCTATCTTATACCTTAGAATTTTAATAAGAGCCATTTTGGAGATCTTTGGTGAATAGCAAATGATTAAAGTATCAGTGATAAAAGGATTTTGCATCGAGTGCTCTTGGAATTGATTTAAGGTAATTCGAGTGGTATACAATATGTTCCCTCTAAATCTCTTTGTAAAGAGTTCTATTTTAATTATTTCCAATTTGTAATTCTCTTGATTATTGTGATTATTTGATAAATTCTGTCAAATCATTCTATATTGATACGTTTGATTACTCTTGTCATTTGATTAATTTCTATGAGTTATTCTGTATTAGAAATGTTGATTTGTCTGACTAATGACGTGAAAATATTTCGTACATGGATCAAGTGGATCTTACCAATAGCTTGCACCAATATGCTCGAATAAGCGGTTGTGCTTGGATGAGGCGGGTGAAGTCGGTCACTGGTCATTTATTGAGTAGGACCGGATATTTGGTCCTAGACAGGTTATCATATGTTTAGTTGATTTGTTTGTGCAATTTGATAAGAATCGAATTGTTTTCTGCAATGTCATAATTTGTTGGATCCCTATTAATTTAATCTCTATTTGAGTCTTGTTATTCCTGTTATATTGTATATTTCCCGAGTTAATTTATTTTTCAGGTGCAGAGCAAATTTAGTGGAGATCGGATTTGAAGTGCTAAAAAGATTAATTGAGTTAGATATTTGGGATCCACCACAATAATAATATTTTTGAAGATTTGTATAAATTATATTTTGGAGACATTTGTGTAGATTATTTTTAGAGATGATTTATATATTTGATATTATTAGTTATCTGGAGTTGTAAATTTGAAATTTATTAAATTTATTAATGGTTCGGAAGTTAAAGCATTACAGAGAAGAATAAAAGAGGGGTTGGCCGCGGTCGAGAAAGGTGAGAGGGATGGCGGAGGAAAAGTGGGAGGGGTTGGTGGTGACGGAAGAAGTGTGGGAGAGATTAGTGACGACATGGAGAGGTAAGAGATAGGTTGGCCAACGTTGGGAAGATTATTGTTGGATTATTGTTACAGTAGAAAAAAGGAGTGAGGCTTGAAGGGTATTTTGACAATTCATCACAAACTTTTTCGCTATTTTTTTATCAGTGAACTTTCT